AAATATAAGAATGTTGGCAGTGTCTGGCTCACCTGGCCTGAGCCTACATCCACAACCTGGGTGCAGCCTGTGAGGTCACTCAGCTTTTTCACCAACTGAAAGAGAAGGGAACAAAGGTCTTGGCCATTGGTTCTTTTCCCGGGACAACAAAAACAACAACAAAAATAAGAATGTTGGCAGTGTCTGGCTCACCTGGCCTGAGCCTACATCCACAACCTGGGTGCAGCCTGTGAGGTCACTCAGCTTTTTCACCAACTGAAAGAGAAGGGAACAAAGGTCTTGGCCATTGGTTCTTGATTCCCGGGACCATTAGCCATAATGAGAGCAAAGAAGATGGAGATGGCAGAGGAAGAGGGGTAGAGGGTGCCAGGGAAGATACGAGATAGGGAAACCAGAACTAGGGGTGCTAAACCTGGGCTCAGGCTACACTCCTCACCCCTCTAAGGTCAGCGATTCAACCTCCCCCCAGAACAAGAAGAGCCCCTCTGTGAAGCCACGAACAGATTATGCAGGTGTGAACACAGGAATAAGACAGTGACTCCGACAAGGCTACCAACCAGCCCAGGATAAAAAACAAAACAAAAAACCACAAATCCCCCCAAACCAGCATCAAGCTAGGGTTCTGGTACACCTGCCAGAGAAGGGACCGGCAGATGATATAAGGTGCCCACATCTTTGTCCTTTCCTCCCTCCACTGGCTTCAGTCCCCGGGCTCCCAGACACCACCTACACCCCAGGCATCTCCTCACCTCTCCCAGCCGCCGGATCTCATGCTGCTTCTTGGGCCTGACATGTTTTCGGAATGGAGCTTTAAGTCGGGAGCTCTGGCTGGGATTCTCCCGAAACTCTGAGGGGGCCTGAAACTTAGGTGTCCGGGTAAAGGCCAAGGACCACTGAGCCATCCGTTCTTCAACATGGACCGATGCGCAGGGCTGCAGTAGGCAAGCTGCCTTCATTCCCTTTGGTTTCTGATAACCCCCTCTTTTGGACAGCATTTCCGCTACATTGGCAGGACCAAGGATTACCGAGGAACCATGATCCCTAGCGAAGCACCCTTGCTCCACAACCAGGTCAAACTTGTGGATCCTGTGGACAGGCAAGCACGTGGGGTTCTGGTCAGATGGTTTCCATCGTCTGAACGGTGGTTTGGATGCTCTGGAAGTTGAGAGGGGTCATCTTGTGGGACATGACCCTACAGGCAATCCCAGTGCAGAGGGAGCAGTGAAACAAGATGGTGACCTCAGTATTTCCAGCCATTGAATTTTAGGTTTCAGAGCAGCAGGGAAACCTGGCTCCCAGGCCAGGCTCACCTCTTCCGCCCACTAGGAAACCCACCGAGGTGGAGTGGAGGTTCACTGAGGCAGGAGAGCGGGTCCGAGTCTCCACAAGATCGGGAAGAATTATTCCCAAACCTGAGTTTCCCCGAGCGGATGGCATCGTCCCTGAAACATGGATTGGTGAGGCTGGGGGATGGACAGGAAGATGGGGGTGGGGGTGGGGGTGACAGAAGTGGGAATAAAAGATGTTAAGACCTCCCACTTGTCTTCCTCCCTCAATAGATGGCCCTAAAGACACATCAGTGGAAGATGCTCTAGAAAGAACCTATGTGCCCCGTCTGAAGACACTGGAGGAAGAGGTGATGGAGGCAATGGGGATCCAGGAGACTCGGAGACACAAGAAAGTCTATTGGTACTGAACCTGGGGGGAGCTTCGCCCCCTCCTAGTCTTAGCCTTGAAGACTGGGGCCACATCACCTTCAGACGTCAATAAAGAGCCATGATTCCTGCTCTCCGTGCAGCTGCTGTCTTCTGGCACCCCTAACCCTAACCCCACGGTACCCGTTTCAGGGACTGGAGGAGGGGAGCATCTGTCCAGTGTTGTTGTGGATCTGGAATGGAAGTTCGCTAGCCTTAAGGTGGCCTTCCCAAGGGGCAGGGCTGACAGATTCTGGGATAGAGACCAGAGGGAGAGAGGCTCCCTCCAATGGAGACCTCTGAGTAACAGAAGATGCCACCTGTTCTGGAGGGCAGTGGAGTTTGGGGGTGTAAGATCTGATTGTTGCATCTCTGCAGGATCTAAGTAGAGAGGGTGCACATCTGTCCTTTTCTATACTTGGTAGAAGTGGAAGGGAAATAAATACTGTAATTTCTTTTTGGCAATCTTCACCCGAAGATATTTTTTCCATTGATTATTTTAGAGAGTAGGAGGGAGGGGGAAGAGAGAAATATCAATATGAGAGAGACACATCAATTGATTGTTTCTCACAAGCACCTGGAGGCTGGGGATTGAACCTGCAACCCAGGTACATGCACTTGACCGGGAATTGAGCCCATGACCCTTTGGTGCACGGACCAACACTCTAACCACTAAGCAACACTAGCCAGAGCAAGATTTTAAATTTTTAATAAATTAAAAATAAGTTTTTACATAATATTACATAACACGTGGAGGGAGAGAGAGTACGAAGCTGAAGGTCTGTGGGACACCATGATTCTGGGGAGGGTGCGGGATGCTGCTGCTCTGGGTGAGGACCCACTGTGGCACCTGGGTGGTTTCAGATGGGGTCCAAGATGCACCTTTCCTCAGAGTGCAGCAGCGTCTTCAGTCTCCAGAACAGAGAAGGCCTGACCCAGAGGCCTCTTGGTAGCCACCAAAACCAGGTTTCTGGGAGAGAGCTCAGGGCTGAAGATGGGCAGGAGCTCAGAATGGAAGCCTGGGAGAAAGGCAGGACTACTGAGAAGGGTAGACATGAAGCCCACTCAGCCCCACTTCTTGCCCAGGCTGCAGGCAGGCATAGCCCCTTTCCCCCATGGAGACTCCGTGATACTAAGGAGACCCAGGTCTCTACCAGGAACACTGGTGCCTGAGGTCCTGACTTGGGAGAAGGCAGTCCTCAGTGCTGCCCGGGACACTCGCTTAAAGTACACTTCAGGAATGCACGCCGGAGGCTGAGTCGGTAGGAATCTCTCTTTAAAGTCCCCACCCCACTTCCATCCCACGGTGACTGAAGCAGGTGGTCTAAGAACCACTACAGTGATGAAATGTGGGACCCGAAGGAGGAACCCCAAGATCCAGCCCCTCTAGCCCTAGGTCCCTGCTGTAGGCCGCCCTCACCCTGCTCCTGAAGGAACAGCAGCCGGTCCAGTAGAATCAGCGTCTCCACCAGTGGGGCCAGCAACAGGGCCAGGCTGAAGAAAGCTACCACGCGGTTCTCCTGGGCCTGGTGGGCCCGGAGAGCAGCCAGATTCAGTGGCAGCTGGGGGTCCAGCCCCACCCGCTGCAGCCCCCGCTGCACGTATCTGTGGGTCAGCCACACACAGCACTCAGTTGGTTTCAGAACCTCCACCTCCCACTCAAACTGTCCACTCCTCATCTGATTCCAACTTTGCTTATTTGCTACCCTAATTGGTATTTTTCTTTTTTGTTGTTAATTGATTTTAGAGAGGGAGGACGGGGGAAACATCGATGTGAGAGATACATTGATTGGTTGCCTCCCATACTCACCCTGACTGGGTGGGGATCAAACCCACAACCTGCCATGTGCCCTGAGCCGGAATAGGACCAGGGGCTGCTTTCTGTCGCCCTTCGGCATATTCCGGTGCACAGGACGACCCTCCAACCAACACAGCCACACCCTCCAGGCAGGGCCTAATTGGCACTTTTAAATGTTTCTCTGGCTATGAGTTGTCTATCCAATAACGAATTGATCCAAAAATGTATTTTCAGCCAGACCTGTCCAATTAGCCGTATTCTTAACATTTAAGTCTTGATAGTCTACTGATAAAGAATGACAACTCCCTTTTAAAGAAATTTTGAGAAGCTGCCCCAGTCAGAGAACTCAATCACTCCCCTGCCTGCATTTCGCTTCACTGTAAGACTTGCTAACAAGCGAGGGTGGGAGGGGAATCGGACCTCCCGTGGGCTCCCAACACCCCCGCCCCCCAACCTCCTCCGGCCTCACTCTTCAATCTTGAGCTCGTGGACCCTGGGGATCCCCTGCACGCCTGGCCGACGGAGCTTGGGCTGGACGTGCCGGATGACCGTCTCCAGTGCTGCCCGGTAGCAGTGGGTTCGGAGGCCAGGCCCTGCTCTCTGTAGCCTCTCGGCGTATTCCTCCAGGGCGTGGCAGGCCCCCTCCCGCAGCCTGTAGGACAGTTCGTAGCCAGGCAGCGTGGCCACCCACTGACTCAGTGGGTAGCCGCCAGGGTCACTCAGCTTCATGTAGCAGCAGCCCACTGAGGCCAGGGCCACCACCTCAGGGCAGGAGGAGAAGTGCCTCAGCAAGGTGACACTCAGGTCCCCGCAGGCATGGAGGCCTGTCAGCAGCAAGCGGGCCTCACCCTGAGGGGAGGTCTCCAGCGGAAGCAGAACCTCCTCACACAGGGTCCTAGGGTCTACCCACTGGGCCACATGGTGCGGGGAGCGGTGAGAGTGCATTTGCACCATCTGTGGGGGGAGGGAAGGACAAGGCAGCTGGGAAGTCTGTGTGCTGTCCCCATGCCACCTCAGGCTGCAGGAGGGGTCTGTCCTCTGTGTTCCCTCCTAAGGAGGAAGCTGGGGAAGCCGCTGGGGCATGGGAGAGAGCTAGACCTGGAACCAGAAGGGATAAATTACGGATCTGTCATCATAACTGCAAATTGTTCATGTCTGAGTCCCAATTTCCTCATGTGTAATGAGTAATACCCGACTGGCCGCTTCACAGGTGGTGGTGGGATGGCCGTACCCGTGTGGAAAGCACTTTGGAACCAGAGAGTGCCTCTAAGATGTGAAGAGGCTTTGGCGAAGGGGAAACCTGGGGGAGGGGGAGCGGGGAGCAGGACCACATCATCTCAAGCTGAGAAACTAGAAAGCGGGAATCCGGCCAGGCAGACCCCGCTGCTGCAGTCCTGGCTGCAGGAAGGGCAGGCCTACCTGCGGGTTCCTCTTCTCCTCTTTTCCCAGAGTCTGCAGGAGCTCCTGGTCCAGGTGCTGGGCTCTCTCCACCAGCCTCTGATCCCCTTCGATGCTCTTCACCTTCAGCCCTAGCCCCAGAGACATGAAGCGGGAGAGATGGCCCTGGAGTCACGAGAGGGAGGGTAGAGACAGCCCTGTTCAGCTCTTATCTACTGTCACCCCTTTCAGCGGCCAAGACACCTGGGTCCCAGGCACCCAGAGGGCTTAAATTCTATCGTTGACTTCTATCACTCCTTGGCACCTGCCTCCCTGGGCCTAGGCCTGACAACCTGTTGCCTTCCACTGCTCTATCCCCACACTTACCCCCCCTCTCCCCTC